AGGACCCGGAGTGACGTGAAGCCCCCTAGCCGTGAGCGGTGGGCACCACCATCCCGCATCCCGGGCCCTGCGCGGACTCCTGCACCCTGGGCGCCCAGGCATCGGGAAAGCCTATGGCTCAAGCCGCACCTGGGGACTCCCGGACCCAAGCTGCTCCGGAGTTCCCGACTTTGCCCCCGTCCCTTCCCTCCGCCTTCTTCCCTCCTCCCGGAGCCGGAAGCGGCCGGGCCATATCGGGCTGCTCCAAATAAGGCGCTGACCAAATAAGGGTTGTTCCGGCGGGGGATCCTTCCTGCTCCTTATATGGCGTTTCCGGGTCGCTGCTTGCTGCTCCCTGACTCCCCCCTCCTCCCTGGTTCCAAGCCGGGAGCCCGATCGCGCGCAAGAGCGGGGGACGCCCAGGCAGGGAGGGCTTGGGGCGCGTAGCGCTAGCGCACCGCGACTTGAGGCTCCCCGACGGGGCCTGGGCTGGGGAAGCCCAGGCCCGAGGCGGGGGCGAGGGCGAGTCGGGCTAGGGTTCTGCCGCCGTCATCCGGGGCCCGCCCGCCCACCTCTGGGACCGTGGGAGCGGGGCGGGAGCGAAGGGGAGGAGCGGCTGGACTGGCCCGGGCAGAGGCCGCCCAAGAGGGGCGGGTCCTTGACCCCGGGCCTCGACCAATGACACGGTGCCTTTCCAGGTGTCACCGGGGAAACTGAGGCTAGGAAATAGTAGCCAGATGGTTCCTGGGACCCTGGGCATTGCGGTGGGCCGCCTGCTTCTCCGCCATCTGCCAATGGGATGAGGCTGTTGGAGCCTGGGGATCCCTTTACGCCACCCAGAACCGCAAGACTGTTCCCTGGGCCCCTCCTGGGAAGAGCCCACCTTTGGGTGGCGGACGATTGCCCTAAGGGAGACCCGAGTCCTGCTCCCACCAGGAGCTGCTGGTTCTTGTGGTGGTGGGAGACTTTCCCACCTTTATCCGAAACAGGTGGAGGTGGTGTGGGCAGTGCGGAAATCTGAAAAAGGGGCTTCCCTAAAGATTGTCTGGGGACCACAGGTTAGCGCGAGGAGAGGACCTGCTTAGCGGCTTGGTGCTGCCCCCTGCAGGTCCCCTCTCCAGCTCAGTTCCCCTAACCCTCGGCGGAGTGGGCTCTTGCGCCGCCTTCTTGCTCCCCCTCCCGGCTCCTTTGCTGGGCGCCGAGCCAGTCCGGGGGAGCCTTAGACGCAGTGAGCGCGAACTGAGCAGGCGCCGCAGCCTGGGCTCTCCCTGCAGTCCCTCGGGAGCCGCCACCGCTGAGGCGCCCAGACTCTGGGCAGGATAACACTCCCTCCCCGAGCCAGGCCAAGGGTCGGGGGGGCTGAGGGGGTGGGGATAGGGTAGGCGGGAACGATTCCTGCAGGTCTTCCGGGAGCGGGACTCGAACAGGGAAGCCCTCCCCCTCCCGTCTCCCCCGCAGTCAAGTGCGCACCCCAAAGAGAACAGGGATTCCAGGAGGGGAATGCTCCTGCTCTAGCTCTCAATCCAGGGAAGGTGTTGTTTTTCTGAATTTAAAAAGAAAACAGAAAGTGTGTGTGTGTGAAAGGAGGGTGCTAACGCCAGGAGTGAAGGGGGCAGGTCAAGGTCTCCATGAACCCAAACAGCCTCAGGAGGTCGGGGTCAGGGGGTTTAAACGGGGCGGGGTGGAGGATAACTCTCTTGGGCTGCATCCCTCTGTATCCCCCCCACCCCCACCCCCCATATATTTTCTTATAAAAATCTGCTTAAGGAACCCAGCAATGAATCAGGAGTCCCTTGTCCCTCTGCTCTAGGTCTGAGCTCCCCATACCAAGTGCCTAGGGCCAGTGGGCCCTCTCCCACCGCCTACCGACTTGTCCATTAGGGGCAGGAGTGATGCACCTCTCTGAGGCCTACTGCAGGGCAGGGAGGCCAGGCCAGGCCAGGCAGGGTCAGATTGTCCTGTGTCTGAATGCCCATTTTGCCATTCCCCAGTAGGGTACCCTGGCCAGGCTTTTTGTATCTCCCTTTCTTCAACTGTAAAACAGGGCTAATGTTAATGATACCTACATGGAAGGATTGTCGTGAAGACTGAAACTTGCATGGACTGCCATCTGTGAAGTCCCAAAACACAGTGCCTGCCTTGCAGTTGGCAGTCGATAAACAGTAGCTATTGTTATTTTCAGGGGCTTTTGACCCACAGCATCACCCAGAGGTCACCCACCCATCCTCAGCCTCCAAGCAAGCCCTAGTGACCCTTTTCTGAAAAGTTGTACAGAAAGGGAGAAACATTCCAATTCTAACACAGGGGACATTGTCCTGAAGAGCTAATCTGAATATCCTTCTTGCTGCAGTAGAACATCATTTCTCAGAGCAGAATTTTTCAACCTTCACTGTGCAGCAGAATCACCCTTGGAGCAATGAATAAGAAAGGTTTTACCCTAGACCAACTGAATCACAATCTTCCTGAACTTGTGGGTGCCAGAACTGAGTAGGCACCTTGTCCTAGGAACCTTGTTCTGTTCATGGGGAGCTTCCCAGACCCCAAGAGCATGTCCTCCTTCCCCAGCCAGGGCAAGCCAGTTCTCCTGTGGTTCTAATGTGCAAGCTGACCTAAAATATCTTCAGGTCCTTGCTGAAGCTGGGCACTGGGAATCCTTAAATCTACAACTTTTGTTTTGCATACCCAACATCAATTCTCCTTTCTTTTCATAACTACTCCCCAGCCAGTGATTTCCTTTGGGCAACCACCCCAATCCATGTGGTTGGGGGAAGATAACCCCATCCTAGATTAGGAGTAGATATGTCACCCAAGCCTGGTCGTCCATCTAGGCTGTTCCAGTCTAGGGCTGTTCCATGTCCCTAGCCCTAGTGAATGAGTCAGGATGGACACATGACTCAAATTAGGCCAATGAGAATCACTTCTGGGACTTTTTCTGGAACTCTTGAAAAGGAGGAATTCTCTTTCCCTGGTGGAGCTAAGACAATGGAATGTAAGGCTGGAGGCCATCTTGCCATCAGGACTGGACAGCCTTCCTCAGAAAGAAGCCAACGCGCCAAGGAAATCAGAGAGAAGAGATGTGCATACAGAGAGTGAGTCTCTAAGTGCAGCCTGGGCTTTTTAGTTATGCAAGCCAACGAATTCCTCTTTTATTTCATACAATGACACAGGCTCATTTCGATTGCTGTTACTTGCAACCCAGGAGGTTCTGACTAATACACCCATTATCCACACCAACAAAAAACTTTTCTGAGGACTTGCTGTGGGCAAGGCCTGGGGATAAGGCCTAAGGCCTAAGGCCTAGGCCCCTACCTCTAAGGAGCTTACAGCTGGGTAGAAGGGAGCCTGGATTCCATATTAGGAGAGAATTAAGAATAGGAAGCAGCCCTGTTAGCCACCAAAAGTCAGTTACACTAAAGAACGGAGGGGATAAGAGGAGGGAGAGATTCCAGGGGTTTGGGAGGAGGACAGGGTTGATGAAGAGATTTTTGAGAAGAAAGAACACAAGAAGGACTAAACTTTGTGGTGAGGAAGTGAGAGGCACTTTCAGGCGGTGGTTGGGGGTGGCCAGCACAGTCCATGTGGTCTGTCTGAGAAAAATGGACTGGAGTAGAGAGGGTTCCTATTGGGAAGTAGTAGGAGGTAAGGTTGAACAAAACATTCATTCTTTTAAAAATGATTTTTGTCCACTGCTTGTTTCAGACGCAGTGTGAAGTCTTGAGAATTCCACAATGAGGAAGGCAGATGCAGTTCTGCCCTCCTGGAAACTGCTGTTCGGGGTGGGGGGGTAGAAGGAACTAAACAGCTACGCAAATAAAAAGGATAATTTCAGATTCCGGTATGTGTAACATACTAGAGAGGTGAGGGAGGGCACCTTGGAGGAGGTGACGTTTATGCAAAGATATAAAGGATAAGAGGAAAGCAGTTCTGCTTAGAGGAGTGTGGTGGGGAGAGCATTCCAGGTAAAGGGGACAGTTGTGTAAAGGCCTCAGGATGGAAAGAGATGTGGCTACGATCAGTCTGGGGCCTCAGGCTCAGGTGTGAGCAGCAAGAAGGTTGAGGGCTAAGCTGTCCCCTCCACCTTCATCTGCCTTGTTCTGCCCTCTACAGTTCAGACAGAGGAGAAGCTGGCCTTCTCGATCCCACCCCGCTCCACGGTGTATGCCCCTGGAAGGCAGCTCCCACCCAGGGGCAGTGAGAGGAGCTGGCTCAAAGCCCCTGCACGCTCCCCAGACCTGCGCCCTGTTTGCCTTGAGGCAGCCAGTGAGAAGGAAGGCCTGAAACCCTGCTCCCTACTCAGGGTTGTGCTGCTGGCCTATCTTCTCAACAGCAGGGCTGGGGCATCTGAGTTATCCCCACTCTCCCCTGGTCTGTCTTTTGGCCAATGGCACACTTCTGTTTCCTGAGACTGGGGGGACAGGAAGGGAAGGAGACATGGTGACATCGGTCTCTCCTCCCAAGGAGCCAAATCTCAGTTTGGGCTCGTGAGCACCCAACTTGTGACCAATACCCCAGATGGGACAACTGGCCTGGGGCCTACAGGAAACCAGATGAGGAGTAAGGAAGGCTGTGAGCCACTCCTGTACCCTGGCCTGGGTGCCCACGGGGCCTCAAGGGTTACTTAGGGATGAGTCTAAGACTCTCAGACCTTGCCTGCTAGGTGACTGGTGCCAGAAGCCCTGGGAGAGATGAGAGGCCCCCAGAGGGTCTGCAGGTCTGAGCTATCTACACTCAGATTTTCCTTGCAAACGGGAGAGGAGGAGGGGGCAGAGGTGAGAGCAGAACTGAGGTTGCCCGTGGCAGCTGAGGCTCCAGGAGAAACCAGTGGGAACCATCATGTCTCGGACACTTGGCCTGGGGTTGAGCGGGCTGCAGCTCTCAAAGGAAAACAAGCCCCATTTTCCATTGCCACTTCCTCTTCCCCAGCCCCGGGCTACGTCAGCACCCACATGTGCTGCTCAGATCGGTGGTTTGCCACTGCTGTGGCCAGCCCGGGGCTCAGGAAGTGACTCTCTCTTCATTCTGTCTGGGGCGCCTGTCACACTTTCCGATGGCTGATGGGCTCTGCAGGAAACATGGAGGGCCTGGCCTTCAATGGGTCTGGGGGCAGCTCTGCTCCCACCCTGAGGGGGGTCTTGAGGGGTGAGAAGAAACCTGAAGAGGCCAGGTATGGGGTGGGACAGAAGGTGCACTGAGAGAGTGGGGAGAAATGGAGACATCAAGAAATACAGGGGAGATGAAAGAGAGGAGCATCCCAGAGTGTCGGAGTTTGAAGCCGTCTCATCTACTCCAATTACAGATGAGGAAACAGCATGCCAGAGGAGACCCCTGAGTCCCAGGATAGGTGGAGAAGGGCCCATGCAGAGTGATGCTGAGGCCTGAGGCAGAGAGGGTCCCCTGGGCTCTGAAGAGGGTGCCTGGCATGTTCTGGACGAGATCCAGGGACCGCAGGGAAGAGACCATGGAGGATTTGGCCCAGGTACGGTCATCTGCCTGAGAGAGTTGGGCTGGGCTGCTGTCCTCAGAGTCTGTCTGAGGGGTCATGTGCCAGAGAGAGTTAGGTTGGGCCTGAAATGGAAGACCCTGAGGCATAATAACTTGGGGAGGTGGCACAGAGGGTCTGTTAAGGGAAGAGGGAGTGGGTAGAGGTAGATGAACACTTAAGTAGGGCTTTATGGGTCCTCTCTGCCCCAGAGTGCCCTGCAGATGCAGAAGAGGCTGCTGTCCTTGGACATCTGTCCCTCTGCCCTGTGCTGGGTAGTCCCTCTCCCAGGCCCGAGGGTGGCAGGACCCTGGGCTTAGAGGACGATCCAGCCTGTGGTGACTGCTTTGCTCCCTCCACCCCCAGCTGAATGTGCAGCAAAGTCTGCTGCAGAAATCTCTGGAAGCTCATGGGCAGGCAGAGGGAGGGGAGCATTACATAAGAGCCCACTGATGTGCAGGAAGTCTCGAGCAGCCTTTAGATTAGAAAGGCAGTGTTCCCATCCAGCCCAGAAAGGCAGGAATAGCAACAGTGGTTATTTCTGGCCCCTCACCACCGCCCAGCGCTGGGGCTGCTCAGCTTCGTGGTGGGTGAGCTTCAATTCTGCAGACTTGGTGGGAGGGGGAGGGAGGGAGGAGGGGGCAGGCAGCCCCCAGGGTTGCCCCACTCTGGCACTGACCTCACCACCCCCTAAACACCAGGACACAGGGATCAGTAATGGTGCTTGTCTTCTATGATTTTCCTTAATCTCTAGATGCATTCTCTACCCCCACCCCCACCCCACCCCCAAGACACACTTACAGTGTCACAGGTTCTGTGCTAAACGCTTGACAGGCATTTGTCCCCGCAATGCCTACGAAGTAGGTACCATTCTTACCTCCATTTCATTGATGAGGAAACAGGCTCAGAGAGGGCAGGAGACTTGCTCAAGGTCAAAGAGCTGGGCAATGGTGGAGCCAGGATTCCAGACAGTCTGGCCTCAGAACTCTCTGGCTAAATCCCAGCTCATACCGAGAACTGTTCTCTGGGGTCCCAGAATGAGTTGGACAAAGCTTTCGCCCTACAGGGGTTCTTGAGTCAAGCTGAATAGACATGTGAACAGATCATTTCAATTCATCCATTCAGCAATTATTTATCAAACCTCTACTCTGCTCTAGGCATTAAAGATACAAAGAGGAGTAAGGGGATACACCTTTTGCAGTTCACAGTCTAGTGGGGGAAGACAGACAAGTTAACAAGCAATTACAACAGTGTGAGCCATGCTATTGTGGGGGAAGCATAGTGACGGTGGGAGCCCCTAATGTCGCTCCTACCCACTGAAGTGGTTCCTGGATAATCAGAGAGCCAACTCCTCACCATTTTTAAATAATTGCAGGAGGCTGGGTCGAGGAGGGCTAGGGGTGAGACCAGCCAGGAAGCCCTGCATTTCTCCCGGAGAGAGGGTGAGCTCTGGCTGCATCAGCACCAGCTAACACAGAGGCTCCCTTCAGGGGCCTCCCCGTCATAGGCAGAGAGCAAGAAAATCTGACACCCAAATTTACTGACAGGCAGCTCACCCAAAGGTGCATCCATTTCCCTTGGTACAGTGGCAATAGGGTAGTTGGAGAGGCTGGATGGAAAAGTCCTCTCTTTTTCCTCCTCCAACTGTCTCCCTGTCTACTCCACCGTATGGGAACCCTGTTTTAGGGCAGAGTCAAAATGAGCGACTGAAAAGGAAGCTGGTACCCAGAACCAAGAGGAAGAGCTTCCATCCAGATTATCACACTGACACGTGGTGATGAGAGGGAGGGAGCGTCAGCTCCGGTTCCGAGGAACATCTGCAGAGGGGTCTCTGCTTTGCTCTGGGCAGAGGCAGCCCTTCTGTTCCTATCAGTGGGCAGAGGGAGGGCATCTTTGGAACTTCTGGGACCCAGTTTACCTCTGGTGGAGCCACAGAGAGGTCCATCATGGCAGGATGATGGTCTCTTGAAGCTGACTTTGCACTCAGTGTCTGACTTTGGGCTCACTGTCTTTTTAAAAAATTTATTGTGGTAAAATATACATAACATAAAATTTACCATTTTAACCATTTTTAAGCATGTGATTTGGTGTCATTTAGTACATTCACAATGTTGTGCAACCATCACCACTATCCATTTCCAGAACTTTTTCATCATCCCTAACAGAAACTCTGTATGCATAAATTAGTAGTTCCCCTGCCTGCTCCCTCCCCCAGCCCCTGGTAACCTCTATTATAGTTTCTGTCTCTATGAATTTGTCTATTCTAGGTACCTCATGTAACTGGAATCATAATGTTTGTCCTTTTGTGTCTGGCTTATTTCACTTAATATTTTCAAGGTTCATCCATTTTGTAGCATGTGTCAGAATTTCATCCATTTTTATGGCTGAATAATATTCCATTGTATGTATAGACCACATTGTGTTTATCCCTTCATCTGTTGATGGACATTTGGGTTGTTTATACCTTTTGACTACTGGGAATAATGCTGCTGTGAATATTAGTGGGCAAGTATCTTTTTGTGGGCTCTGTTTTTATTTATCATCCGTTCCAGTTATCACAAGAGGGATTAAAGTTAGATTTAAGAAAGACTTCCCGGTTTCCTACCACAGTGATCAAAGCAGCAGCTTCTCCCTCTTTGGATAGTTTTAATAACCAGAGTGTCCTCTGCCTCACCTAATCCCACCCCTGGACGGGGTCATGCCCGGAATGCTGCACTGGTCTAGGAAAGAGGCTTTGTAGGGCTCACTCTGGGGTCAAAGCTCTGGATGGTTTATTTCTAGGAGCTGGATGGTGAGGGTTTCATCGTTTTCTCTTGGGCCCTGGGTATGTTTGCCACTACTCTCCACCCCAGACCCAACTTTCTCCTTTCCCTGGCAACATCCAGGCTGTCTCCTTTTTCTCTCCCAGGCTAAATTGGGAGTGTGAAGCTGCTCTTCTTCTCATTTTAGCTTTTGAATTAAAGTGAGAACTGAATGTGGCTGGAAAGCTGACTCCCATCTGTGTGTGTGTGAGAGAGAAAAGGAGAGCAAGTGAGCATGAGCGCATGCAGGGGGAGTCAGAGCGAGGGGAGCTGATCTGGGCAGCTGCTATTTAGCACAGACACCATCCCTAGGTGCAGGCAAACAGCTCAGCAGAGAGACACTAAGGTTTGAAGGTTGGTGTTTTTCCAGGAGTGGAAGATGCTGCAGGGACATCATTCAACACTCCACAAAAATGTGCCGAGTGCTTATTGCATGCCAGGCCCCATACTAGATGTTGGGGAAACAGTGGTGAACCAGGTAGACCCACTGCCTGGGGAACATGTGTGCTGTCAGGGAGGAAAAATAGGATGCCCCGGGGTCTTGGACAGGGCAGGGTAGGGGAGTCACAGCAGGAGAACAAGAGTGCTTGGGCAGAAGGCACTGCACATGCAAAATTTGAAAATCTGGCTTCTGCAAAGGAGCCTGGCACTGGGTGATTTGGGCTCAAGAGGGCTCAAGAGCTTCCACCTCCTCCTCCTCGTCTCCCCACCCCTTCTTCCGGGGAGAACACCACCAGATGAGAGTGACTTGGGCCAGAGAAGTCTGCTCAGCTCTAAATAGCTGAGGTAGGGGCAGGGAAGCTGTAGGTCTCCTTCTGAGTTGCCACTCAGAAAGCTGGACGTGGCAGGTCCAAGATAGACATGGAACAGAGGAAACGGGATCTCAATCGCATCATAGGAGACAAGGTATCAAGAAGGGTCTCTGCTTGGTTTAGCTTACCCCATCCCTCCTGGGGGTGGGAGGGTGGGCTGGATGAGTCAGTCTTTGGGGGACCTTTCCTCTTCTTGGTTGATGGGAATGAATCATGATTCTGGCTGAAATGGGAACAGGTAGAAATCTTGGCAAAGAAAGACCCTCCGTTGGCAGAGACAGGAAAGAGCTCTCTGGGGGGCCATGCATTCTCTGTCAGCTTTTCAGTTCCCCAATGACAGGCACAGCTAAGGGATGCTGGTGTAAAACTCGCCATCAATATTTCAGGCAGCATTATTTATTGATCACTCATCTGGCTGGGACAAAAGGAGAGGGTAATTCATTAGAGATGCAGGGCTGGTGCGGTCAGTTTGGGGAAGAGGTCAGGGAAAGGTAGGTCATCGAGGAGTCCCAGGCCTGGCTCCTGCAAAACCACCTTGGGATTCCACGGATTGGGGATTAGGGTCTTTATCTCCTTTTTTAACCCCACTGTACCCCAGATGAAAATAAGGGAAGGGCAGGGGACAGGGAAACCTGGGGCAGGCTTGGGACCGCCCCTGTGGCCACCAAGGAGATCATATCCAGGGAATCCTGCAGCTGGGTGAGCTTCCCTCCCTCTGGGCCCAATCTGCCCCTCCCAAGTTCCCTGCCCCTTACCACCTCTTGGGTCCCTCTCCCTATCTGACCCTGAAATCAGCCCCAGCAGCCTCTCTAGATGCCATTTCAGAAGCCCAGATTGGGTCCCTTGGGCTGCAGCGTCCTCCCAGGGTCAGCTTGGCAATTTTCCCGCTCCTAGGAGGGTGCCTGATTCTCACCCAAAGGGCATAACTTTCCTGTGGGTCTGACCATCTCTCCTGTGGGGAGTGGGCATGGGGTGGGCACACAGGCTGGGCTTAGGAAGCAATAGCTTGAGAATCCATAGCTATTGCTATCCATGGACTGTCCACCTGTAGGGTGCTTTCCTCGTGAACCTCCAACTCCAGGGAGTGGGGCATGAGAACCTTGCTCACCAGCCCTTAAGCAGACTGGCTGCAGGAAAGATCGTTCTCTGCAGGGGCCCGGGAATCCCACATTGGGAGGGAGCTGCGCCACCTTGTGGGCAGTTTCCTCCTTGCAGGCATCCCTCTCATCCATCGCTGCCTCCAGCATAGATATGGGACAAGCTCTCAGGCAGAACCCAAATGGCTCTAAGACTTGAGGTGCCCTCCTCCTCTAGGCAGGCCTGCCCAGCTCAGAAGGGGAAAAACAGGGAATTTTGGAGGGAGATGATCATATACTGGCTGAGA